AAAGCAAGGCTTTGGGCATGTTTTTATGAGAGTATAACATTATAACATGATATAAAACTCAAAAAAGTTGATTTTACATGATATTGCCCCTTTAAAGCAGAGGGAATGCTGCGATCGTTGGATTTGGGGGTCCAGCCTCCCTCCATATCTAATCATTTCAACCTGTCATCACACTCACGTTGTCGTGTTCTGAAAACTTGAAATTTGCCAGAACTGACAGACTTGGAGTCAAAGTAACTTGCTCTTTTTTTTTCCTGAAGGTAAGGGAAACCAGTTTGCTCCCAACACACGTGCATGCACACAATAATGTGGGCCCAAACAGAGGCCTCAAAAAACAGCAAGGAGTGAGCAGAAGGCTGGAAGGCGGTGCAGGAGCATGAGGGCCTGGTTGCCATAGGAACTGAAGAAAAACGGTGCTCAAGGCGAGTAGGCATCACAACAATAGTGGGCAGATGTGCTTGGTCAGCGTGCTGCTCAGCAACAGAAGCCATCGTTCGCTCCCACAAAGCCCCTCCTGAACCACAGCTGGAATCACACAGTTAAAAGCACACCTTCCATGGAACCTGATACGGCTCCAATTGTTATGCTGAAAGAAGGGGTGTGCCATCTTTTTYTTTCTTTCCTGTTTGGGAAACTAATCTGCTCCGTTAGCAACGCTGCTCATTAATATAACTCAAGGCTGAGTTGTTGTTTGGTCCTAACGAGGAATTACACAATAATAGGATGTAAGGGGATTCATCCAACTGCGGGCCAAGTAGAGATGGGTGAAAACCAGTCGAGAAGACAGTAAGCAGCCACCCACAACATGTTGTTCTTTTCAATGCTTGGACTCGCACCAAAATTTCCTCCTTAAGAAACACACAGCTAAAGCAGTCACACACACACAGCTCTGCAACTATACAATTATTTCACCATGCATCATATTTCCTCCTCTGCGTTTGATGAACGAGCCGAGGCAGACTTCAGCTCTCCATCTTGTTTTTTTTCCCCGACAGCTGCCCGAAGGGACGGATGGACGGGCCGACAAGGACACTAGGCAGACAATGAAAGGTGAGAGTGATGGTGACAAGAGGGAAAGAGACAAAGAGAAAATTGCAGGTGTGGCTGAATGAACCTGCTCTCCACAGCTCAATGATCAGCCAGYGTTTGGAGAAAATAGGCCAGAAAAAGCAGAAACGCCCGCCAATAGAAACACGTAAACTCGAGGAACCCATATGATTTCCAAACTTGGAGTCAGATCACAAGGGTGGCAAGGTCAGAGCCACACACATCCTGATTTTTCTTTTTTCTTTTTTTTTTTACTGTGACAAAGCACAAATAATTAAATGTGGCCCATCATATCGAAATGAGGATTAAGTCAAATTTGGTCAAAATGACCAAATTACATTTTCAGATTTTTGGCTTTAAAAGCTACATTTTTATACCTGCTTCATTCTGATATCATAATGAAGTCCATATATATGACTTAATTTGTCTTGTTGGTTATAATAATACATAAAT